AGCCAGACCCGCCTCTGGTCAAGGCAGACCAATTAGCACCTCTGTGACTGACATATTTAAGAGGGGAAAACAAGGAGACCTGCAAAAGGAGTGGGATGTGAGAGAGACAACCAGGCAGACTGCAGAAGTCAGTGTGGAAAGGCAGGAGGAGGCGGCGGGAGCAGAGATTCCCCCTCAGCCCGTGGTGAGAGGGCAGGCTGTGAGGCAGCCATGGAGGGTCACAGGGCAGTAGAAACCCCCCACTGAAGCCCCAGAAGGGCTTGAAGGCAGAGCAGGGGGATGTGTCTGAAGGAGCCTGTGACTCCATGGGAAGCCTGCAGTGGAGGTGGCTGCTCCTGAAGGAATGCACCCTGCGCAAGGAGGGACCCACAGCGGGCAGCCCCTGGGAAGGTCTTACGTTGGGGATGCTCCTGGAGGACTGTCTCCTGTGGGAGCGACCCCATGCTGAGGCAGGGGCAGAGTGTGAGGATCCTCCCCTGAGGAGGAAGGAGCAGCAGAGACAACACGTGATAGGAGTACCACAACCCCCATTCCCCGTCCCCCTGCACTGCTTGGGGGGACGAGTGGAGAAACTGGGGCCAAAGCTGAGCCTATGAAGAAGAGGGGAAGGTGTTTAAGATTTGGTTTTATCTCTCATGATCCTACTCTAATTTGACTGGTAACATATTAAATTGATTTTTCTTCCCTGAGTCAAGTCTGTTTTGACCATGACCATAACGGGTGACTGATTCCTCCTTGTCCTTGTCTCAACCCATGAGCTTTTCCCTATATTTTCTCCTCCCCATCCCACGGCAGGGGAGGAGTGAGTGAGCAGCCATGTGGTGCTTAGCTGCTGGCTAGGCCTAAACCACAACAGAGGGTTTTCCAGAAGACAAGGTGCTCATCTCAAGGTAGGTCTAGACAAGATCAAGTTCCAGCCTGAGCCACTAACAGTGAATTTTGGAAGACACTGGAGTTAGCAGTGGAGTTTTCAACTGCAGGATTGTTGTGGTTTAATCCCAGCCAGCAACTAAGCTGGCTCACCACACAGCTGCTCGCTCACCTCTCCCAGCCTCATCCAGTGGAGGAGGAGAATCAGAGGAAAAACATGGAAATTCGTGGGATGAGATAAAAAGAATTTAATAACTGAATATAAATGAATAAAATAGGGATACTAATAATACTAACAATACTAATAACACTAATGTTATAATAAACTACTTATAATATGCAATGAAAATAATACTACCACACCTGCTAATGATATGTAATAAAAATAATGGAAAATAAAACAAATTATACAACTGCTCACCACCCACCGACTGATGCCCAGCTAGGTCCTGAGTAGCAAGAGCCAAAGCCGGAGAGCCTGAGTACCAGAGCCCAAGAGCCCAAGCCAGGCCAAGCCCGAGAGAGATACCACACCAGAGCGAGTCCCAACCAGCAGGAGCACAACCACATGAGAGCAACTGAGAAAGCCACTATGGCCCCCGGCCCACTCCCAGCTTATATACTGAGCATGACGTCTTATGGAACGAAATATCCCTCTGGTCAGTTTGGGACAGCTGTCCGGATTGTGTCCCCTCCCCGCTGCTTGTAGCAAAGAAACTGGAAACATGGGTGCTGTATCAGAAACTGAAAAAAGTCCTTGACTTGGTATAAACGTTCCTTAGCAACAACTAAACCCATCAGTGTTATCAACATTTTTCTAGAACAAATCCAAAACACAGCCTCACACTAGCTACTGTGAAGAAAATTAACTCTGTTCCAACTAAAACCAGCACAAGGGTGTACTAGGGAAACAAACCAAGTTGGAGCGAAAGCTGCATCCTCAGGGGAAAAAAGCAGACAAAACCTTTCTGTCGCGAGCTGTACCCGTACCATCCTCATTCAAAAAACCCAAACAAACATCAAACGCAAAACACTGCTAGCCACCTCCATGCGATCTGGCAGGTCAGGGGTTTTAAATTCTAAAGGCACGAGCTTTTTCTGGGTCACCCAGGTCCCAGCACCGCCATTTGCTCAGCCCTACAACTTGTCAGTCAGAAGGCAGTGGCACACACGTTCCCACTGGGACACGGACATAGTGCAGGGAAACTAAGGACTGTGCAGCACCAGGTAGCTCAGAGCGCATGGAGGTCCAGACCATGCTGCCAGGAGAGGACCTGCCTTCCCCTCTGTCTCTACTCAGGCCCTTCATAGTCTCCTTAATCTACCTGCTTCCCTGGAGATCCTGGTTATCCCTCACCTGTTGTAGATAGAGAAGTCAAACTTCCAGCCCAAGCAGCGGATGACACGGTCATAAGGAGCACGGGTGGCAAAATTATCCAGTTCGTCCTGCGGGAGGGTGACGGAGTCGATGCTTGCGCTGGTGTTCCTGTCCTCCAGGTAGAACCGGAGTGTGATGTGCAGCTTCCCTTTCTTGTCCTTGACGATAGCCAGATCTTCCAGGTCACCCTCCAGAAGCCCATCCAGAGATTTCAGCTGATAGGTGTCCAGCAGGCCATTGTTAATTGCTCTGTGAAAAAAAGGGGGGGATATAAGAAGAGCTAAAAGAAGGGAGGAGAGGTGGGATCCATGGTTCAGTCTCAACAGCTGGAAATCTGACACGTTTTCCCAGCATCCCATACTCCCTTTCAGTGCAAAGGTTATCCCCAGAGCCGCAGGGCTCCCAGGAACAGCGCAGGTAACACAGCCTCGCTGCCCTTGCAGGACGTAGTCAGCCTCTGAGCTCTCCTCTGTGATGGCAAGCAAGGGCAACAACTTGGGAGCCAGCGCTTGTTAATGGTAGTTTCCAAGGGAACATTTTCCTATTACACACAGACCCTGGAGAGCTCTCGTCAAGCTCCAGTGTTCACCACCAGCAACCCAGACGGCTTTAAACCACGGACCTAAAGACGAAGGCCCCACGTTTCCTCTGCTACTCCCAGGATGAGAGCACTTCCTGTGCCAATCCAGGTCAAGAGATGCTTCCCTGTGTTTGTACTCCAGGTGGGTTAGAAAGAGGAAGAGGAGCCATGTCCTACCTCAGATCCCCGACGTAGTGGGTGGCCCACGAGAGGCGCACGCGGGACCGGCTCACCATGTGGATGAAATTCGTGACGCCCAGAATGTTCTCTGCTGTCTCAAAGGCCGAGTTCCCTCGGCCCAAGATCAACACGGTTTGGCCAGCAAAATCCTCCGGGTTGATGGACACAGTCTCGTAACCCTCAACATATTCTGAGCCAGGAAAGTTGACCACGTTGGGGACCCACATCCCAGTGGCAACCAACAAAGAGCTGTGAAAACAGGGATAACACTAGGAAATGTAGGAATTATGGAAATGGGGGCCATCGCTCCCCTCAGCACTCCTCCCACTGTGGAAGACGGCTGTGATGTGCCCCCTCCAGTCAGGTTGGATCAGCTGCACAAGTCATGGTTTCAAGAGAAACCTCTCCCCAGCTTCACCTAATGACCTGTTCCTGTCTGATCTATCCTCAGGCCAACGAAGACGACCAGAAACGTCATTATATACAGCAAAAGTCAGTGCAGGTGCTGTACATACCTCTGTTGTTCACCAATGTGTAAGTGCTACTCATATGTACTCACTGATGATACAAGTAATACTAAAGCTTCACATGTTGATTATAGGATGCATAAAAAATTACTTTGATCTAAAATTTGTGTTGCCTCTTAGTAGAGAAGAACAAAAGTAATTTTTAAGATGGACAGAAAACAGTTTTAAGATTTTAAAATGTAACTCTCTGTCATAAAAACACGTTAGCAACATCACTACTTGTTAACACCAAAACCACAGTAATCTATCTCTCCATAAGCACATTTCCTTGAATCTTAGGGAAATCTCTGCGACTCAGCACTGCCTGCTGTCCCAGCCCTGCTCATGCAGCTCCACGGAGCGACTCGCTCACGGTGCGTGGGTGCTCGGGATTGCCTTCTGTCCCCCGCCAGCCTGCCAGCCAGCGCGCCTCCAAGTGACAGCCAGAGCGGTCTGCTGCGGGAGAGCTGAGGTTTCCCGGAGAGGCAAGAAATACACTCCGTATGTTCACACTAGTAACTTCTAGATGGTTTTCAGGAATGCAGCTCAGTGGCAGCGTGGGATACGCACGTGTGAGTATGACAAGGGGAAGGGGAATTCGGGGACCAGCAGCCCTGAGGTTTCTTTCTCACAGTCGGTTCCCCCTACCACACCACCTCCCCTTTTCTCTGGTTCACCCCTGCCAGCTCTGTGCTGGCCCAGGGCCTCAGCTGGCTGGGGCATATTTCTAAGCACATGTGGGTTAGCAGAAGCGAGGTGTCGCTGCGCTGACTCACTTAAGTTTGTAATAAAGGCAGCAGTGGCTACAAAAAGCACAACCAAGTTATTTTTTTCTAGGTTTTTCTGAGAGCAGTTACCTAGTGATAAAACAGAAGTGATTTCAAAGCTTACCTATCAAGGATGGAACCGGCAGTGATGGCAATCGCGGCCAGTTTGTCTCTGCCTTGCCAGCTCCTCAGCTGTCCAAGGTGTAATATTGCTCGCAGAAGGCAACACCACCCCAGGATCAGTTATTCCACCCACTCACCCCGCAAAATGTTTTTCCCCTTGTCGGTGATTAAAGCTCTAAGAAGCTGGGAAATCTCCATCCTTGGAGCTACTTATGCCCTAGCAGGGCAAGGCCCTGAGCAACCTGACATCGTTGGCCCTGCTTTTGGGGCTTAGAAGAAACAACCATTACAAGTTGTTCCAACCTAATTTAATCTGTGATTTTGTGACGCCAAAGCCGCCCGTGGAGAGCTGTGGCTAGCCCTGGGTTCGCCCATTACCTGCACTTGTAGTTCTGCCTGTCCTGGTCGGTCAGGAGAAAATAGTGGCCGTTCCAGGCACGCTCGTCCCTCTCCAGCATCACATGGACGATGGCCGTGTTGTACTGAATCCGCAGCTCCAGCTGGGAAGCAAAGTCCTCCAGGTAACGCACCATTGTGTCGGCGTCGGGGAAGAAGTCGTGGGAGTAGTGTTGGAAAAGCAGCCGACGGTTGTGGCTGAGGAGCGAGTTCCAGTCGTGGCGGAGGTTGAACTCGCTGTTGGATTTGCCCGTGTAGCGCTTGTTGATGCTGATGAGCTTGCGGTGGCGAGGGTAGAGAGCGAAGAAGCTGCCGGGAGCGTGGCTCCGCTCAAAGACGATGTAATCCCGGCCGGCTTGCTGGAGGAAATAGGCTGCCTGCAAGCCCGAGGGGCCGGCCCCGATGACACAGTAGTCGTGGTAGAGGAAGGCGGCAGTGCCTGCTGTGCACAGGCTGCCAGCGTACAGGGCCAGTCCCAGCAGCATCCTGCAGGCTGCTAGGGCCATGGCAGGGCCGGGACGGCCTGTCCTGCAGGAGAGAGGGCCGGAGAGGTGTCACCCAGAGGACAAGCGGCTCTGGTGGGTGCAAACCTTCCCACAAAAGACCCCCGGCCTGGCCACGCCTGACC